AACTATAGAAAAATTTCCCTAGACTCGCGGCAATAACCCCCAAAAACCCATTGTTCTGGGTAAATCCGGCCAATGTTATTTTTTTGACGCGAAAATAAACTTTCGTCAATTTCGACAATTTTGCCCCCCCCCCCAACATAGCACATATTTCTCTTATGAAAGAACTGCAATCGACGGCCGAATGAATGCCCATCCTAAGCTCTCTTTTGCAAAATTTGACACTGGAGAGCTCATAGGCCCCTGAACAGATGAAAAAAAATAATAATATCGTCAAATGGTAGACGGGTGTTTTCCAAAAAAGTGCCTTAAGGAAGCTTCGGTACAATCCTTTTTTCGACATCGCCATCTAGAATTTTTTCCGATAATTGTAAATTCATTTCGTGACCTTGCGAACAAATGCGTGTGCTGCTCAAAATGTTATTTTGTTGAAGCCATTTTACAGAGTTTTTCATGTCTGGGCAAAGTTGTACAAGTGACTTGAAACTAATTTGATTATCTGCCAAAAGTTCTATATTTTCGGTCATTTCGGCTAATTTTGTTATCTGTCTGTTTGAAATTCTCAGTATCAATCGAAATGGCTAACCTAGTTGCTCGAATTCAATTGGCTTATATTAGCCAATCTGGATCAGTTTCAGTTTTAGTTTTCATTTTGCTTCAATTTTGATTTTTGTGCCGTTTAACCCATAAGAACCCAATCATTTTTTGTAAATTTCGCAAATTCGTGCTAGTTTTTTAACCTCCAAAATTTGCGACATCGCCAATTTAAGCCGCGACGGTTGTGACATAAGTCGAGAACATCGGCCCGAATATCATCTTACCAAGTTCATCTATACCGGGTTGATCTCAATAGACCTACCCGCAGTGACAAAAATGGATAAAAATTGATTATCTACAGAAAAGTATACGATTTTAGATCTGTTGTAAATTTATATAGTGAAGTAGTTCTAATAATCGATCATAATGCTTGCTATTTTGCTAAAACTTCATACTGTATATCTTCATTAAACAATCAGTACCGAAACACTCTAAAACTATTTTTGCTGTATCAAATTTCCTGCATACTAAATACATATTGTATACAGATTATCTAGAGATTATCTAGAGATTATATAGAGATTATCTACAAATTATCTACTCATTATCTACAGATTATATACTGGTTTTATACAGATTATATACAGACTATATACAGATTAAATACATATTTTATTCAGACTACATACAAATTATATACTGATTTCCTCAACACTGTCGCCAATCAGATGATATGATTGTTTTGAAATTCAATTATAATGCAGGCTCTTCATTGAACTTTTGTTTCTGATGTTTGATTTGAAATTTTTTTAAAAAAAAATCCTTTTTTTTCAGAGTGGTTTTTTTTCAAAAACTAATTGCTCTATGTAAATTTTTTTTAATTTTTATTGATGTTTTTCTAGCAAAACTGGGCTGAGAAGGTTGATCTTTTAAAAGGCACTTGAAGAATTTTTGCGCAAATTTACTTTTATTACCGCGGGAACCCTTAGATTGCAAAATCTTTCATGGGTCTCTTAACACTTGATGTTTGCGGTAAACAATTTTCCTCAAATGAGTTCCGCTCACTGTACTCTGAAAAAAACTTTCTGATAACAAATTTACGACATCGCCAATTTGCGACATCGTCAATTTAAGCCGCGACGGTTGTGACATAAGTCGAGGACATCGGCCCGAATATCATCTTACCAAGTTCATCTATACCGGGTTGATCTCAATAGACCTACCCGCAGTGACAAAAATGGATAAAAATTGATTATCTACAGAAAAGTATACGATTTTAGATCTGTTGTAAATTTATATAGTGAAGTAGTTTTAATAATCGATCATAATGCTTGCTATTTTGCTAAAATTTCATACTGTATATCTTCATTAAACAATCAGTACCGAAACACTCTAAAACTATTTTTGCTGTATCAAATTTCCTGCATACTAAATACATATTGTATACAGATTATCTAGAGATTATCTAGAGATTATATAGAGATTATCTACAAATTATCTACTCATTATCTACAGATTATATACTGGTTTTATACAGATTATATACAGACTATATACAGATTAAATACATATTTTATTCAGACTACATACAAATTATATACTGATTTCCTCAACACTGTCGCCAATCAGATGATATGATTGTTTTGAAATTCAATTATAATGCAGGCTCTTCATTGAACTTTTGTTTCTGATGTTTGATTTGAAAACTTTTTAAAAAAAATTCCTTTTTTTTCAGAGTGGGTTTTTTTCAAAAACTAATTGCTCTATGTAAAATTTTTTTAATTTTTATTGATGTTTTTCTAGCAAAACTGGGCTGAGAAAGTTGATCTTTTAAAAGGCACTTGAAGAATTTTTGCGCAAATTTACTTTTATTACCGCGGGAACCATTAGATTGCAAAATCTTTCATGGGTCTCTTAACACTTGATGTTTGCGGTAAACAATTTTCCTCAAATGAGTTCCGCTCACTGTACTCTGAAAAAAACTTCCTGATAACAAATTTTTGTTAAATTTGTGAAGAAATCATTAATATAAACCATGAATGGCCGAAATTGAAATTATTGCGACCCTTGTGGTTTTTTATCAAATTTATACAAACTGTATACAGATTTTATACAGATTTTATACAGATTATCTACAGGAGTCAATGTAAAGAGATTATATACTGACTATATGCAGATTATCTACAGATTACATACAGGTTTTTTAGAATAGAGGAATCGATTATTTTGGCTTTAAAGTGCATTTATATTTGGTGGAAAAGAATAGATTCTATCTGTATAAAATCGATTACCGTTCGCAAAATGGTATTAGATAAATTACTTCTATACTTAAATTAATCTGTAGATTTTTATGTAAATAATTGATTTCTAACCAATTTTGTCACTGCGGGCAAAATGCAAATCATACAATTCGATAAACTCAGTCTGAAAAAACACTAGTCAAACAAATTTCATACATTTTGCTATTGTGAAGTCAGCAAAATTTCAAAGCATTTTCTCTTATTTTTGGATAAAACTCTGCTTACAATCATAAATAAAAACGAAAAACCTTTTATCAACAAAAAATGCTAATCACAAAAATTCCATATATAAAAATTCTATGACTAGCATTTTTTTGATGGAGAGAGCAAACATTTTTCTAAGTAGTATCGAAATTGCCCAAGAAAAAATTAAGTTTTTTTTCAGGCTTAAACGAAAATTGTAATCAAACAATAATTTTCTAAGGAAAAACTTTTGCATGCAAAAATGAGTTTTTGTTGTGAAAACCGCAGGTTCCTTATAATTATAGCCAGGCAAAATTTACCCTCGAGATCTAACTAATAGTTTTATATTTAATAGTTTTATATCTAATAGTTTTATATTTAATTTCTATGGTTTGATAATTTTGTGGGGAGATATCAAAAGCTCTCAAAACTTTCTTGCAAGAAATTGTCTGTCTTGATTTTTCTTAATTTTTTTGGATTTTTGCAAACAGCTTCTTGCTAGAAACTTTTGAAAGGGTTCGATATCTCGCCACAAAATTATCAAATATTACAAAAATTATGAATTTGACCTCGACGGTAAATTTTGCGTGGCCAAAGCTATGAAGAATCTGTGATTGCTCAGTCCAACCCCGTACCCAAAAAATTCTTCAAGAATGATTTCAAATTTTTTCTTTCATAAAAACTTTTTTCGTTCATAAAATTTCAGATCTGAAGTTATCTATTATTTATCTGAAAACTAGACATGCGTGAAGTTGGCCTGAAATTCTCTCTGTAAACATGTGGAAAAAATGACAAAGCGCCTTCCCCCCACTCATAAAATAAAATCCTGTGCACGCCAGAGAATATAGGCCTTGATGTATTTCATTAGTTTTTGGTATAATTCTGCTGTATAATTCCGTATGGTCTGCTGTCTGAGGAATTCGAAAGTAAACTTTTATCATATAAATTACGCTTTGAAAATCTGTTTGTGTTATAGTGACAGCTTAGTCTGGAGTCTAAGAAATCCGAATATGGATTAGAAGGTCACCCGGGTTGAGCTCACACCATAAATTAGCGATAAAAAAGAGAAAAAAAAACATCCATGAATAATCGATGTTCATTGCCACAAAAGCAAATTTAATCGATAGATTATCGCTAATTTGGCTAATTTTCAGTGAAGAAAACGCAATACAAATTTATCAAAACGAGCAAAAATAAGGATCTAAGAGAGGTTCGATCCGGCGACCATTATCTTAGTTGACATGCATGCTATCTCTTCGCCATCCAGTCGTAGTGCCCATTAAGTTAAAGGGCTTATCAACTAAAGCTCTCATTTGAAAGGTAATAGAATGAGGTAAAATTTCTTAAGTCTGAGCGATGACTTTCTACGGAATCATTACTGAAATAGCTCTGAAAAATCGCAGTGTTAGGTCTGCGAAAACTCTGAGTTATAAATGAATCAGCGCTGGAAATAAGAGATCACTGGGATTCTACAGAAAAAGCGATAATCAACTGTGGGACTTTAACCCTGGCAGACGATTGCGCGCCGTTTAGATTAGGGATGAAAACTGAAACTTGTTCTATCAAACCTAAGTTTTGACGGTCCCATGTTTTTATATACAGTAACCTATGCTTTGCTGTCTTAAGAATCAGAACTTGAGCTTATATCATATAAATTTAAGTTCTGAGTTTTGTTTTCGAAAAAATACTGATCGTATAGCTTGCTATCTGAGGAATTTTATAAGAGTTGGATGTTCGTATGATAACGTGGCCTTAAGGTCTTAAGATTGGGGTTCTTGCATTTCTCGTGATAATAGGTTTTTCGTGAAAAAAATTGTTCAAAAAATTGAAATTATGACGTTTCTATCTTATCATATGTAAAATGACCGTATACTTGGCTGTCGTAGGAACCAGAATGTGATCAGTCTTGTGTTATATAAGTTAAGTTGTTATTTAATTTATGATAAAATATAATGAATTAGTGATTTTCAAATATTAACTAACCGTATAGTCTGCTGTCTGAGGAACCCGAATGTGGGTTGGGGGGTGGGGGACTTGGCGTTGAAGAGGGCGTTGAACTCCCTCACCCGCATGTACACTCTGAGGTACAGCACAGTCATGATCACCACGGGAAGCAGCACCATAACCACCGCCTCCTCCACACCTGAAATGGAACAATTTGGGACCAAGTTAACATCCTCCTACGAAAGCCGTATAGGGGGGTTGTTATTTTGCTTCTGAGTTTGTGAGTTTTCAACCAGTCAGAATAGAGAATTTACATGCAGCGCTTAGCAAAATTAATTGAAAGTGAAGCTAGGGTGGAGGATCTCATCTTTGTCTTTTTTTCTGGGGGGAGGGGGGGGGGGCGTTAACTTGATCCAAAATTTGTAGAACTATCTGAAAATTCTGGTCGCAAAAAAAATGCGGTGAGTCGCAAAACTGAGCAGCTTCGCTCAACAAAACAACTTGAATGTGGAAAAATAGTGAAAACGGGTAGTTAGGTTTGCAGAAACCAAAACCGAAGTTAAAGCAAAGATAGCCGGTTGCTGCACAAGCACACATAAAAAAAAACACTTTTCTTCAAATTAGTGCCGTTTTTAAAAGGTGATGTGATTCGACAACTATAGGATCGCGTAGATATTTAACTAATCAGGTATGTTCGACAGCAACAAAAAAAAATTAACATTTGAGTTTTTTGCACGAAAAAGTTAATTTTTTTAGAAAGCGATTTTTGCCGACTAAGAGCTCAATGAAACAACCGAAACAAATTTTATTCATGGTGAAATCAACTGTTTTGTCCTAAAAGCCTAAAAAGTAAACTTCCATTTGAGGAGCATTACTCGATCACATTACTCGTTCAAAATTAAACTAAATCTCAAAAACTTCAAACCAGCTTTTCTCAACACTGGGAGAATTTTGGAATTTTTTAAATGCCATTCGAATCAGACTAAAACGACTCTAATATGATTTATGGACCAATTTCGATAACTTTTTGTGGTACCCGGTTTTGCGTCGAAAAAAAACCACACAAAAAAAATAAAACACACCACAACAGGCAGGAGTTCAGAAATCCTGTCTGTGGTCAATGGTCGGAAAAGTTATATTGAATTATATTGAACGATTTTTTTGTTCTATTCACTTACTTCTGCAATCACCTTCTTAGTTTTTTTATACTTTTGACTTTTCTTTGACACAGCTTTGACATTTTTTAACGATTAAAGGACAAAAAGGATATTCACAAACAGAAAAAGTATGTAAACATGAAGTCATAATCAGTTGAAAAGCAGCTTGAGAGTCATTGTGCTTTGTCGATAACAGCTTTTCAAATTTAAGAAAAAAAATTTCTTTTTTTTCCAAATTGTCGATTCTATTTAAAAACTTCTTTCTTATTTGTAAAGTTGTTTCACCTCCCCTCCAGAAAATCTAGGGCCACCTCTCCGCAAAGTGGGTTTGAAAAAATTCTTCAAATAAAACAGATTAAAATTACACTCACTTTAACCAACTTAAACTAACCGAGCTGGTTTTTGCGATAACCTGATGAAAAATTAAGTTTGGCATAAATTTTTCCAGAGAATAACATGGTTATTTTTTTTACAGAAAAATAGCGTTTTAGATCGAAATTGAAAATTTTTTGTCCGCTTTAAGGCTTGTTGATTTTCTAGATTGTCTGCTTACTGCTATGTGGCTAACTTAGCAATGGTTGAAAAAGTTCGCATATTCGCAGGATCATCATAATCAGCAAATAGAACTTATCTAAAATAATTGTAAGCAAAAGCGATTTTTTCAGAGGAGAATTTGTGTCTCGCCGTAGCCAGGAAATTCCTATTAGAATGCAATACTTGCTCAAATGTAGATTGCTCCTTTAATTGCAATGCAAAATTTGGCAGAAATTGGTAGATTGCTAGGATCAGTTACTGCTGTCCGTCCAAACTCGAACTGTTTGCAGCTGTCTATAACTTGGTTGAAAATAGCAAATGGCCGTAATTGATCAACTAACCAGAAGAAGTCTTAGCGAGATCTGAAGGCCATTTGAACTGACAAGTGGTGTGATAGCGACTGAATAGAACTAGATCGTAGCTCATAGTCCCAATGCCAATCAACCAGCAGAGGAGAATCAGGAGGGTGTTCAGAAGCGTGGTGAAGTAATGGTCGTACCAATCTGAAACAGATTGAGCCTTTTTTATCTATCTTTCCCTCTCTCCCTTCACCATTGGTACCACGTGAAAAATCTAGAAAAAAAAACAGCCCGGGTTGACCGCCATTGACAAAACTGCTAGTCATACAGTTCCATACTATGGGAACTGTATGACTAGCATTTTTTTAAAACAAAAAAATTTGTATATTGAAAAAAAAAATTTAAGTAAGTTATAAAGCTCATAAAACTAACCAGCTGTCATACGTCATACGGTAATCTCCCAACTTGTTGAAATAGACAAAAAAAAACAAAAAAAATGTGGACATTTCAGATTGTGGACAAAAAAGGACGGACTTGATAGCCTTTTCTAGTTCCTCTGCGAATCGCAGAAGACACTATTAACATATCAGCATCATCTTCTTGGTTTTTTCAACAGTGTTTTCACAGCGTTAAATAAGAAGGCTAAAAAATATTGGAATAGCATGATTATTCCGGCTGCGACCTTTTTGATATTTAGAGCTTAAGTGCGACTTAAATAATAATATGTCGCACACAGTCTCGAATCATCTTTTCTCGGGTCGCGCAAAATCGCGCCGAACTTTTTTGGTCATGTAAAAGTTGCGACATAAATGTTAAGGTTCGCCAAGTTCCCTACATACACATTTTGAACCTCGGCCCCGGCTTGAACAAAGTTTTCTGCAAATAATTTTTGCAGGTGCAGAAAAAACAAAAGTTCAGGTTGCATTACTTTCAAATTTATGCAAAACGTTGGGGAGATTTTAATACACTCTTTCAACCTGTGTACACTAGGGATATCCAAAAATACATTTTCATTGGATTTTTCCAAAAGTTTTGCATGATATGAATATTTTTCTTGAATCTGTTCTCATTAAAACATTTAAAAAAATAAGAGAATTTATTGAGCACCCGTTGCTTTGCTTTGGCAAGTAGGGCGTTATGTGGCCTAGCGGGTATCTTAACTTCCTTTCAAAATGTACATCGGGGGTTAGAGCCCCAGCAGGAGATTTTTTCTAGTTAAAATTAGCCTAAATCTAGCTAATTTGTGTTCACAAATTGGCTCTTTTACAGTTTCGCCCTTTCAAACTACCGAGTTTTATGCTTGATTTACGTGTTATTACGGCTGAATGCGTGATGTTACGCTGTAAAACATGAAGAACAAATCTATTTACAATTGTCGATTTGTTCACCACGCGAAAATTCATCGCATTATCACTAGGTTAAAAAAGCTTTTCAAATTGAGTTTGAAAGGGGGAACCGGAAAAAAGCCCAGAGTTCAGATGATAAATAAAAAAATTTTATGAAAATCCCTGCTTTTTTAAACATTTTTTAGGAAGTTCTGAGCAGAATTTTAGATTAGATATAAAGTATTACAAGTCAGAAATAAAAAAATTTTTGTTTCGGGCGTTTCGTTCGTATTTTTTCTCTGAACAAAAAGCAGTGAAAAGCAGATCCGAATGGAAAATTTAAAGAAATTTGATCTTCTGTTCAATTTGTTCAAGCAATAAATATTTCAAGCTACTAAAAAAGCGTCACTTAATTTGTCACTTTGCTTAAGGGCCAACTCTGGAAAAAAATGAAGAAAAAAATGAAAATTGAAAAAAAAGCCGACTATATTCATTTTCATGGCAGGAAACTTTCAAAAACTCGCGCTTTTAGCATAGAAAATGGCGGTTGACTTTTTATTGCAAAACGATTCGTGAAAACGGTAGAATGATTTTTTCCGTAGGCCTGGCGGGTTTCCCAGGTAAGTTCATCACACAAAAAATTCCACAAAAAACTACCGGGAAAAATGATAACGGCTTCTCATTTTCTTATCCATTTGACAAGGACATCAAACTTACGATTAAAATCATTTGACAAGGAGTTTTCGCGGTTTTTCATTTAACAGATAAAATCATCCAATTTAAAATTTTAATTGATTTACTCGAGAATAGAACAAATTTTTTCGCTGCTTTTTTAAAACTTTTTTTACTGATGAAATAATCCCACTCGAAAATTCTCTGAAAAACGTCCATACATTGGGATGAATTTTTCGCATTTCTTTTTTTTCCACAGAAAAATTTTGATTCCAATTTTTTGCGGTTGCACTATAATTGTCTTTGTCAGTCATAATGGTTTTCGTTACAAAGTTTTTGATAAAAATTGAATGGTTTTTTTGAAAAATTATAATTGCTGATCACAAACTCATATTTTCATAGATTGACTTGGTTTGTTTTCCTCGTTTCTTGCGCGTGTTGGTATCACACAAAAACTTTTTAAATTTTAAAACTATTTTTTTTAAAGTTCGGAAAACAGTTCAAGCCTATATTGCTGTTACCGAACTTGCATTTCTTGGTGAACAAGAAAGTCCGAAAAATATTCGAGGGAAGCTTTCCTGAATAAGCAAAAATTTTCCCCCAATTTTTTTCTATCACAGATAGCTTTGAGCGGATTGAGAGGAAGGTTTAATGCTTATTCCGCTGAAGCAATCGAGGAAATAATGACCGGAATTTGCGGCCAAATTTCCGCGTCATCGCGAATTTCAAAAAGAAATGAAAGTCGAAATGAAAGAAATGAGAGTTATGAGCATGGCAATTTCGGCTAGTTTACATTTCGGCTAGTAATCTTATTTCCACTCACCTGTATGCAAGACAAACACATATCTCTCCACGCTTATCATTACTAAGTGCCACGCACTAACAGCCGACAGGACATAATACAGAAAACGACTGAAAATCACCTTGCACAGAAACTGGCCCAGGAACCCCTCCGGAACTGACCAGTTCGGGTTGCAATTAGCATAAAACACGGCACTAATACAGGACAACAAGTCGACAATTGTAAGTGAAACTATGAGTTTATATTTTTTCTTCCCTCGGAGGTTTCGGTCCAAAAGTACGATTAGAGTAATCGTGTTGAAAATGAGTCCCGCGAGGCCGAGAACACCCGAGACGATTGAATTCACCTCCCGAAGTTGAGGGTCGATGTCGGCGAAAATTGACCAGCCGTAGTTCGGAGTCGTTGACGAATTGGAATGTTCGGGGCTGTCGGTGATATAGTTACTGTCCAGAACCGAACCCAATAGATCCATAATTTCAAGAGACATCGCTTTGATTTTTAGTTTTTTTTTAGATTTTAGAAATTCATGGATTTTCTGTATAGATTAAAATCTAAACATGGACCGCTGCAGTTTCAGTAGCAAAAAGGTTTGCATCAACACAAAAAAATGCATCGAAATCTTGAGCCCATAGTTGAAAGATAAAAACAGGTTTTTAACTCGTTATAATCATTGCCTTCTTTGAAACAGAATATGGGTTCAAAAATAGTTACATCTTCTAAATTCTAACTTGATGTGATAAATATTTAATATTTGATATGTTGGTTGTCTAGCAAATGATCTGGGTCAATTGTTTGATAAATAGCACGGCTTTGAAGTAAGACTCGTTTTGAACTTTTTGAGTAAAAGTCAAACTTGCTCAAAGTTTAGCAGTCCGGAAATGACTAATTAATCTAACCACATTAAAATTAAAAGCTAAAATTGTTGGAGCGAAAATCGAAAACAAAAGAGATCTCGTAATCATGATTAGATCTGAGCGAACTGTAAAAAAAAACCAGTGTACATTGCAACATGGTTGAAATTGTTTTGTATGGTAAGTATTTTCCCCGTAGCATGGAAATTTATGATAAGCATTTTTTGTCAACCCGGGTGATTAAAACAGTATTGAGTTTTGAAATCATTATTAATGCTATGGACATGGTTGCATCAAAGTCAAGCGCAGTCGCAATCTGAAAAATGTCACCAGGTATTGTTTGCTTGTTTAATTATAATTGAACGGTTTATGGGGGCCTTAAAATATACAATGACACGATTTTTTTTACATTAGTAAGTCCCGGTTCGAGGTGTACACTTTATGTTTCGAATTCAACATCGAGCACGATGTCAAAGCTTGACCAAAAATGAACAGTCGAGACAGAGTTTGGGTCCAAAACAAATTCGAAATATACAGCGAGCACAGTCGAGAACAGTCAAGCACGGTCGGAGCATACTTCCAGCACGTTCAAAACGTGCTCGAGTTATATTTTGACTTTCTCGACCAAAACTGGGTATATTTCGACTGCGCTCGACATATATTTTGACCTTTTTGACTATCAAATAACAAGAATAAATTGAAAAAAATAATATAATGAAATTCGTCCACAGGAAACTTAACTTTTTTTTGCAAGTTCATTCTCCCAATTTGCTTTTTATTTTGTTTCTCAGCTGAAACTGTTGATGGGAAAACTGATATTTGAGTAATTTTTGGAGGAATTTACCTTTCCTTGACGCAGGAACCCTTAGATTTCCAAAAACTGAAGAATCAATCTGAAAATTTTAGTTTTGCGGTGAGAAAATCTCCTCAATTGATTGTTGCGAGTTGCAACTTTCACACGGAGGTCTTTCAATTTTGTTGCTGAGATTCCTATTTATCTTTAAAATCTTTGAAAAAAAATAAGTTGTGTTTGACCTTTGTTAACCTATTTTTTCATTTTCTCGACCAAAATCAGTTGCTTCGATTGTATTCGACCTTTTTCTCTACTTTCTCGACCTATGTTTCGACCTTCTCGACCAAAATTGACAGTCTTGACCCGGTTCGATTTTTGTGCTCGACTTAAAATTGCTTCCCGACCGCGGAATTGCAATCGCAAAACTGCACTTGCTCAATTTCAAAGTCGAAACATATGTCGATCGCCTCAACCCGGGTGCTTTGGTGCTGGATTGAAAATTTGGTAGATTGTTTCGACTCGCGAAAAAATTTATGGGTGGCAAAATATCTGCACTCATAATCGTTCCAAATAGAATTCAATTGAGGCAAGCTTGTTGGTCTCATTAATTCCATCAACAACTCAATTTTTAACACTTTGTTTTTATCAGCTTAGTATATTTTGTAGCTTGTCAATCTTTCATATTCCAAAAACGATTCGAGACTACGGGCAGACGGATAGGAGCAGTCTTGATTGCTTAAATCGTTCTTCGTTTTTCATTGCAGGTTTGATCGGCATATTGATTTTATTGTCATCATTGAAAATTATGACTTCATTGGCGAGGACGGCAAACACCTATTGTTCTCGATAGATAAATTTTCAAGTTTACAACACTCTACCAATGTAATGTGGATTTGCAGATTGCGATTAGTGAAAAAAAGTTAAGACCAACAAATTTTATCTTTGCGCAAAAACTTTTTAGTATAAACCGCTAACTCCAATATGAAATCTTTCAAAATTTTGATGTTTTTTTCTAAAAAAAATTGGTGCATACTTTTTTTTATACTTGAAAAGACACACAAACACCCCTCCCCAGGCTGTTCAACCTTCCCATCCACAAGCCTACCCAGCCTCTCCTCCTTTATCGTCCAACGAATGCCCCTACCCTGCCCGCACCGCCCCTAATGGCATCTCCCGTCGCCGCCTAAATTTCACACCGCTGCCTATTATTCATGTTTTTTGGGGCGGGGGAGGGGGGGGGGGGGGGGGGCGTTGGGAGTGGGAGGCAACATCGCGGCGCAGAAAATTTGGTCAAACTAGGGTCTTTATAGGGTTCTGGATGAACTTAGAAAATCGATTTGGTCGACCTAAAATAAAAAAAGGCCACCAAATTATTCAATTTTTTTTTGAAAAACAGACCCCCACTCGATAAAATCCTAGATCCGCGCCTCTATATATATTAGTGAAAAAAGATTAAGACCATTAAAATTTATCTAAATTTTACCGCCACTAATGGCTTCTCCTGCCTCTGCCTAACTTTCACACCGCTGCCTATTTTTTGGGGCAGGGGAGGGGGGTGTTGGTAGTGGGAGGCAAGATTGCACGCTTACACCAAACTTTCACCCCACGTCCTGTTTACCGACCCCACTTTCATGTTTTATACACCATCATTGTTATGTTTAACCCCAGTAATCCCCCCGTTCCCTCCGTCTATCGCGAAATGAGTTACTGGACAAACAGAACACGGAGAAGTAGGTTAAGAATGAACGTGGAAAGGAGGCTTCAACAAAACGGGTTGAAAAAAACGGTGTTTTATGCACTAAACGGCCCAAAATCAAAATTGCTATATCTTGAGATAACGTTTTTGAGCTCCAATCTGATTGGCTAGTTTTAGCCAATCAAATGCAAGCTGCGCGGCCAGGCATTTCAATCATCGTTTCAGCAGCTGAAATTAGTAGCCGAAATCTTCATACTGAACTTGATCAATTAATAAAGAAATAACTTTTAGCCAACTTGTAAAATTATATTCAGTCAATAAAATTTGAGAAAAATTACTTCAACGGAACACTTCTATATTTTCAATCAATTATGCTAATAATTTTATCAGCGTGAATTTCTTATTTGAAACGCCGGGTCATGCTGTTAGCCAACTAGCCAATCATATTCAACAATATGAATTTCATTTCAAGATATAGAAATATTGATTTTGGGATGTTTAGTGCATAAAACCCAATAAACGTGCGGGTAAACATAAGGGGACAGAACCAGAACGTGGAGAGAGTGGTAAGCGTTGGGTGAACATGGGAGGCTGTTAACTTTTGTATGATTTTTTTTCTAAATTTTACTTAGTGTCTAAGCTCAATTTGAAATGCATTATAGAAGTTACTCAAAACTAATATATATTTAAGCAAAATTAATGTAGTTTGTGTGCAGTGCTTGTTTTTTTGTGTAATCCGCTCATAATTTTCATAACTTTCAACGTCTCAAGCTGAAACTATTTTGCTTCAAATGATTGGGTAGAATTAGCCAATCAAGCATCAGTACCATCTTAAAACAGTTTGTTCTTAATGTTAGGTTTGTTCTTATGTAGAGTTTTATCCAGACCAAAATGGCCATATTCATATCTGTTTAAAATTCGGCTTGATTAGAAATTGGTGGAAAAATGCAATGAAGCTGATTGCAGTTGTATTTAACCAATGCAACCAGTGCTATTAGTGTTTTATTCTCTGCATTCATGAATTGAATGTCATTAAATCTCAAAATCTCAATAGCTTGTCAGTTTCTATAAAAATAAAACACCGTTTTTGTTCCGACTTTCGATACGAAAGTAACGGAATATTTGTGCTCGGGGTGGGTTTTTTTTCTTCAGACAAATTTCGACTTTTTAACTAGCCCTTTTTGACGGAAATTTTTTTTATCATTCGAAAGCTATTGTTGTCCTGAGCTTAAATTTGAAAAGATATTTTACCTGTGATCATTTTTCATAAAGTTATGGGGGTTTAAAGACTGCCATTTTGGCCAATTTGGGACAATTAACGCGCGATAAATTTCGCGCTATTAACGCGTAAGCGAGATTTAATCCGTCTTAGAAATCGTTCCAAATTGGTTGAAAGAAGCTTATTTGCCATAATCGATTTGTTAATAGGCGCAAAATCTATCACTTTATTCTTAATATGACGTGTGGGGGGATGTTTTTACATAAAATCTCAAATTTTTTCAAAATTTTTTTAAAAATTTTTTCTATTACATTGAAATTTTTCAAGTTATTAATGCTCCATAGACCTTAAAAGGCAGTCAGAACATTCAGGGCTTCGCCTTGATACGAGCAGTCTTGTTAACTGATTTAAAATTGATTTTGTCGCCTCTTAAAATAATATAGAACTATTAGAAACAAAATAATTCATTGTAAAAAGCTTATAACTAGTTTTTTAAGAATAGCATGAAAACGCAATGCAAAATATAATAGTCTTTAATTCATGGAACTCCAGTGCGCGAAGAGGTGCTTGTTTTATAAAATTGTCTTGCTAAGATTTTAACTCTTGGGGAGGGGTTTGGTTTCGATATCGCTTTTTTGCGCAGCGAAAGTTTTTAAAATGATGAGAAACAACTCTGAAGGAAAGGTCCCCTTATCTTTAGGAAACCAATTCAGGAACAACAAAAAAAGAGGGCAAACACATATAACTCAGACAAAAGCTCCGGCACCGAGTGCCCATGTACCCCTCAAAATTTTTGTACCTCTCAAATCCCCCCACGCACGTTCAGTAATTGTAGGGAAGGGGTAAACGGAGGGCTGTTAAAAACAGAGAGTTTGCGTTGGGTAACCGCTTCTCCATTCAAACATTAACCTCATCCCCTTTCAACCATTCTTCAGTATGAGGGAGTAATGTGGTAAAAAAAAATTGAAAAAAATTTAGCACCTGCTCTTAACAGGAAAAAAGATAACGCAATGTCATCGCCTTTGGCGCTAACCTATACTAATTTTGAGGAGGGAGCGCGCCGAAAAGGCGCAATTTTTTGGCAAAAATTTTCAAAAAGTGCCCGAAAAACGCCTTTTTGGCCTGTTTTTTTTTAAACTTTTGCCTGCGGTTCAGACTTTTTAGTGCTTTGCAGAGCTCCTAAGGAAACATAAACTTTTCTTACGCTTGCTTTTTTAATTGCTAAACGCTTTCATGGTAGGAGTAAGTTGAAGGCTCCTGTCAAAACATACAAGTAATCCTGTTTTTAAACATGATACAAAAATAGTAGTATTTCAAGCCGGGCAGAAAATATTTGAAGTATTACTTGCTAGCACACAATAAAAACTGTTCGTAGGAAATTTAGAGTTACTGATGTGAATATCTTGCTACGAAAACAATCTTGAAACGTTGAGCTTACCATATATATGTTAAGCGTTGGCTAAAACATATCAGCCCAAAACTCGAAACTTCTCAATGTTCCCTGGTTGGCAAAAATTGCTCTACATGCAATTTAACAGTCGTTGAGCAAGCATTTCACACGTATAGAAAACTGTCTCAAAACGACTTCGATGTTGTACGAGTAGCATTTCAACCATACTATGAAACACAACGACTAACATTTTCTCTTTAAGTGAACAATATCAAGTTTATTGAGTTGGTCTTTATGTTCTTACGTGTAGTCCCTCACCACAAGAATCTATTGTTTTTTTTCATATGTGAAAAGCAACAGCTTTTTTGTCGAAAATCCAACTGATAGATCGAGTTTAGAATTTTGCCGTGAAGTTTTTGGATTTCAATTTATATATTTATACCAAAAATTTATATATTTTTTTGTTCTAAAATTTACTGCACAAAGCAGTTATGCAGCTTTCAAAATAAAACCAAAGAATGAAAGTCTGAGCAAGATCAATTTCATCGAGCTTTCAAAATCAAACCGAAGCATGAAAATCTGAGCAAGATCAATTTCATCGAGCTTTCAAAATCAAACCGAAGCATGAAAATCTGAGCAAGATTAATTTCATCGAGCGTTCAAAATCAAACCGAAGCATGAAAATCTGAGCAAGATCAATTTCATCGAGCTTTCAAAATCAAACCGAAGCATGAAAATCTGAGCAAGATCAATTTCATCGAGCTTTCAAAATCAAACCGAAGCATGAAAATCTGAGCAAGATCAATTTCATCGAGCTTTCAAAATCAAACCGAAGCATGAAAATCTGAGCAAGATCAATTTCATCGAGCTTTCAAAATCAAACCGAAGCATGAAAATCTGAGCAAGATTAATTTCATCGAGCTTTCAAAATCAAACCGAAGCATGAAAATCTGAGCAAGATCAAATTCATCGAGCTTTCAAAATCAAACCGAAGCATGAAAATCTGAGCAAGATCAATTTCATCGAGCTTTCAAAATCAAACCGAAGCATGAAAATCTGAGCAAGATCAATTTCATCGAGCTTTCAAAATCAAACCGAAGCATGAAAATCTGAGCAAGATCAATTTCATCGAGCTTTCAAAATCAAACCGAAGCATCAAAATCTGAGCACGATCAATTTCATCGAGCTTTCAAAATCAAACCGAAGCATCAAAATCTGAGCAAGATCAATTTCATCGAGCTTTCAAAATCAAACCGAAGCATCAAAATCTGAGCAAGATAAATTTCATCAAGATCAATTTTCATCTGAAAACAAATTTGCTAGAATTACTGCTGAAAAGAACTAATACTTATTGCCAGCTACGAATTGCTACGAATTATCACTTTTTGTAAAGGCTGCGAATCAAATTTGTTGAACTATTTGAATCCAATTATTATCATCACGGTTTATTTTTAAAAGACTAACAGCAAAGGAAAGCATCGCCAAAAAATATCCTATTTTTGTTCATAATTTTTTTTGAATAATTTTACCCAAAATTTTGTAACTGCTCATTAACTTTGACATCTTTATATGGTAGCTGGCCTATTATTCCGAAAGTTTATGTGCCCCATTGCATTTTACATTAGACCTGAAAAACAGGCAACCAATGAAATGAAACAAAAACAAGAGTAAATTAATTTTTATTGCATTTTAATTTTACATTCGGTGCATATGTTATAGTTTTACTGCAGTGCTTTAATGGATGAAAGAGTGTACGTTTAATGGGCTGTGATTGGTATTTTAGTTTCACCATTTAGTCCATAGTCTTCAGCCTTGAAGCAATTTTCAGTCCTTCTTTTTGGCAACAAGCTTCCTTCCAGCTTCAAAAACTGAAACAAAATATTATTTTCATAACCCGGGCCGAGATCGGGAACTTATGCTGCTTCAATCACGACCCAAATTGGGTATGTTGAGACCATTGCGACCCAAAATGGTTAAGTTAACTGATAATTCAATAATCTTCTTACCTCTAAACTGCAGCATTCGAGGTAAGTCAAGCATAATGGCGTCAATTTTGGACAGAAACTGAGGTCCAAAAATTTCAAAAAGATGGAACTTCTTGTCAACTGCTCAATTCCACAGTCCGAAATAAGAATTAAGTCGGATGCCAGAACCGAGTTTAAAGTCGACCCGAAAGTCTCCGAGATGATCTTCAATGACTTATCTGTAATGTGTTCGCATGCGCTGATGTTCAAACACTTCAGATCTTTGGTCTTTCCTTGGGAAAAGTAACTAAATCCCTGGTCTGTTAGTCTGATGCATTTACTGACGTCTAGGGATTTGAGGTAGGTCAGTTTTCCGATCGATACCATACTAAGATCTGTTAGATTGACACATCCGGATAAAACTAAATTCGTGAGGTTTGAAGACATAGTGATTGCGTATCGGAATCCTTGGTCAGTTATTGAAACCTAGAAAACAAAAAAGTTTTATTCATTTGGTTCCTTGCTAAAAAGTGAACTTAATTGTCAGTTTTTTAAGGGTAGGATTGAACTTATGAACTGCTCGATTTAATTCATCGCCGACCAAACGGCCCCCAAATAAACAAATTGAGCTCATTGACATTAGTTTTGGAATCGAAAATCTTTTTTCCTTTGTGCTTTTAGTTTGAATTATTACTAAATTACAGGTCTTTGAACGACATATTTCATAAGAGTGTCCCAACAAACCGAGAGAGAAATACCAAATTTATTGTTGCAAAAAGTCTGGAATTTTGATGATTCATCGCCTTAACAATCATTGATAGTCAAGAAACGCGTTGAGATTAAAATGTACAATAGGTCTAAAAAGTATAAGAAGTGACTCCACGGACAGACCTGATTGCGCAATGTAACAGCTTCGAAGCTTGAAAGATCGAATCCAAACTGCAGCCTGAAAAGCATACAATCTTTAAGCAAGACATCTGCAGTTCTTTTATGAGACTTCTGCATATTGGAGACTCGATGTCTGGTGGAACCCAATACAGCTTTCCGATTTTCGATGGATCCCATTGCAGCTCTTCGACTGTCGTTGGATCCACTTGAAGCCATGTTGAGCCACCTAAAATTGCAATCATTATTAACTTGTTTTTAAAATTAAAATGATGCAGAATTGACTGTCCTGAAATTGTTTTTGACTAAACTGAGTTAACTGTTAATTTTAATTAATATAAAACAGACAGAATTATATTTAAAGAGCAAAACTCTAAGACAGCTTCCAATCATTTCCGCATGCTAACTTGAGGTTTAGGCGACTCTGAGAGATAATTCTGGCTGAAAATTCGGCTCCAATTTTTTTAAATTATGTCATTTGCTATTCTTAAATTAAATCTGTCTATGTAGAATTTTTGAAACTCGTTTTTACCTGTATTTGTTTTCCTGGAAGCAGCAGAGAACTATGTTGTTCCAAGAACGACTTACAAGTCTAACGGAACTACACAGTTCTATTAGGTTGATGTACTCGAATATACTCAGCCATAGTTCCTGCGGTAGATAGCGATGATGACTCATTTGCAATTTTCGAGTTTTTAGCTGTTAGCCGGTGTTTTTTTTTGAGAAATTAAGTTTTCGCTTTTCTTGTTTCAGTTAAATTGAATTTAGTTAAACTGAAGAGAGTGTTTATTTTGAAGTAAATTACCAACAAACTGGCCAGCGTTTTTATCGATAGCCAATCTCAATAATAAAACCGCTACTTATAATCGAAGTAAATAACACAAAAAAAACTTGCAAAACAAAAGTAATAACAAGTGTCAAAGCAAACTATCTTATGAACTGCTGAACATAAATTGTAAGTGCGGCTGAGCGAAAATGACAAGTACAGTTTAATGACAATTCAGCATCTAAATAACCATTCGAAAGCTGACAATCAAATTGAAGCTTTTTGCTAACATTGTTATGCAAAGTGCCCCATACGGAGTTCAAACAATGAAAAAGAGTTATGACTGACCGGAGATAGTTTTTTAAACAATGGAGTTGTTGTTTGAAAGCTCTGCAAGGCAGCAAATGTCTCTAATTTAACGGATAATTATAAAAAAAAATAACTGAAAAGTTAGAAAAAAAAACATCAGAAAGTATTAAAAAAGTGCTTGGTTTTTTCAAGCTTTTGAACAGCGCGCGGGCATTTAAGATCACTTGAAACTTGTACAACAGTATTGTGTAAGTACTTAGCCCAATGCTGGTCTTAGTTTTATTCTCATATCTTTGGGCTGCATAATATGATAAAAATTCTGAAAAATGGGGTTAGGCTGAGTATATAACTTTTTGTGGATAATTCTATGGTTGATTGCAAACTAGTCATTCTTGCATCAATTTTTTTGCGGTTGGTATAAATTTTTTACAATCAGATATCTGTCATAGTGATTAAACTAGCTCACTCATCGTATCTTGTTATGTTCGTTACGCCATCTGTCAATCAATTAACCTTACACCGGTACTAGACACTATTGACAGGTACTAACCATCGGAGCGCTTTGCACGGAACCACCAATGCTGTGGGAACTTCGGGTTAACCGCTTCCAGTGGGGGATGGTAGCAAAACACGCAATAAATCCGAAATTTTTTACTTTGCAAGTACTCTTGACGCGACCCAAATCGCTGCTTTACCTGCGGATGTGGATGGGAAACCACGATTGGAATCGGGACAAACATTGATATCCAACTTATATTTGTGCCTCGGAGAAAAAGGGCACGATGACTTAAACAAGTGGAAACCTCATTTGGACTTGGCGGCTACGAGATATCCACGGGTGCTGAACGCGATGGAAGGGTAATTCAGGAAAGAACGGAATGAGACATACGAGGTATTTCAACTATTGTCACGCAAGCAACGCATTGGTTAGTCCTTGGAAAAGTTTCACTCCGTCCTTAGTGGGCTTGCAGCGAGGTCTTCCTTCGGAACGCTGGACTCCAGGATACTCAGGGATGTATTTAATGTAACTATGACCAACAGGGAGGCCCAAAATGAGCTATGTCGAGCAACAAAAACGCCGGAAGAAGTATATCGCAGCGCCCTACCTTAGGAGAGGGGCGACAAATGCGCAAAAACGTACGTATCGACATCCGGAGGATCAGGCGGGACAAGTAAACTGACGGCAGGAGGGCTCCAGATTAAAACGAAACCGTTGGGTATAATCAGAGGTGGATATCATAAGAATAACCGAAGGCGCGGGCGCGGACAGATCCAAGGGAGGAGAGAATTCCGAGGGGGAGTAAAAGCGAACGATCGGAGATGTTACAATTGTGACAATCCATGTTTCACTTAGGAACATATGAGCGAGTGTCCCGCAAAAAGAACGAACTGTAATTTCTGCAAGAAGGTGGGCCGTTTTGAACGGACATGCGAAGTTAAACGTGGAAACCGAGGACGACAATCGGTCGGAATGATTCATGGACAGGAGGAAGGCATTGAAGATAACATGTCGCAAAACGAGAGTTTGGGAGGATGGGTAAGTACACCGACACCTCCACGGCAACAGCATTCGTGGGATTCAGACAGTTTTGGGGATTATCCAGATAAATCGATTAGATCGAAAAATAAAACAGAATGACGAGTCGCAGGCGCTAAATTACCAATTGCAATAAACAGCAAAAAGAAAAGTGTATGGATCAAAGGCGGTTCCCCAATTTCTATCTTTACGATCGGAGAACTGAAGAAAAAAATGGGCGCCGCAGGATTCAACCTATGTGATTTGACACCGGAGGACCAGGATTACCGAGATTATGGAAAATACCCGCTAAGCTTACTGGGGACCATGAAAGTGCAGCTGGCATCGAACGGCTGGAAGATGACAGCGTTCATCAAAGTGATTGGAGGAAACCACCCATCAATAGTCGTTCGAGACTTGACGGCTGAATTGGGGCTCCAGTTACTTCAGAAGACAACAGGGTAGCAGGTGATGGCAATTCAGTAGGAAAATGGCGAGGGAGATAACCAAATGGACCAATAGCAGGACTATTTTAGAAAGCAGTTTTCAAATCGTTTTACACGGGTCGATAAAATCCGGAAATATAGGGTGGACGCAGAATTTGTTAATTCTCTCCTACCTATTCAACAAAAGGGTAGACGCGTACCAATAACGTTACAAGAGAAATTAGATGGGGAAATATCCAAATTGTTACACCAGGGGCATATAGAAAAACTCGAGGAGTGTTCGGACCGGTACTTTGTCTCTCCAATAATGGTTACGGTAAAGAAAGACGGTTCAGTAAAGTTAGCACTTGAGGCTCGTGAACTAAATAAACAAGTTCATAAAAACAAATATCAGATGCCTAATATCGGGGAACTCATGGACACTGTCGGTCAAACGATTAGCGAATATAAATCTGCGGATATTTATTTTTCAACTATGGACTTAACGTACGCCTATGGTCAACTGACATTCAGCCCGGAAACTAGCGTTCAATGTATGTTTTGTTAATCGGGGGAAAGTCGACGGGAACGTATCAGTTCAAAACCGTTTTCTACGGTTTAACTACTATGCCGGCAAAAATCAAAGAGTGATGGATTTCATTTTGTCGGAATTTTGACAGGCACACGGATTCATTGTTGATACTTAATTACAACAAAAAGATCCGAAATAGAACACTTCTCAACAGTCGAAAAAATACTCAAAAAGCTAGACAAAGAAAACCTGGCGTTAAAATTGTCAAAAAGCTAGTTTGCACAACATGAATGTGAATGGCTCGGGCATTAAATCGGCGCAACAAGCATCACCCTTTTAGTTCGGAAAATGGCAACAATCGACGCACTTAAACCGCCGCGCCCACTGTCGCAACTTAGATCTTTCATGGGATCGATCCACAGTTTGCATAAGTATATGCCGGCGCTTGCAGAATCTTTGGCGCCGCTACACCCAGTACTTAATCGGAAAAACTAATACGTATGGACACCAGAATGCCAGGCGGAATTTGAGAACCAAAAAACCATGTAGCAAACATTGTGGAACTAAAACATTTTGACGTCCTCAAGGATAATCGAATAGTATGTTACGCGAGCCATAACGGATTGGGAGCCGTATTAGAGCAACTCGGCTCTGAAGGGTGGTGGCCGATCTCATTCGCGTCGCGTTATCTGAATGACGCTAAAAAGCGTTCAACAAACTAACTGGAACTGCTAGCGGTAGTGTGGGGAGCGGAATATTTCCGGAATTATGTACTGGGATGGACTTTTCTAGTTATCTTTGACCATAAGGCGCTGGTATCGTTGTTAATTGGTAAAAATAAGGAAGAAGAAATAATGTTCAGCTGTTTAACAAACAAGATGGTTAGACAGATCAATTCCATTTGATATCCGCGTGGAACATAAAACGGTGGCTGAAATCCACTTGGCAAATTACTTATCCAGAAATCTAAACAGTTCAGCTAAGCCAGTTTCAAGTTATGAGAGTATGTTCACCGTGACGAAAATACATGCAATTCGTGAAACCTTCGGATTTGTAAAAACTGATTTAACGGAAATAAAACATCAGTTTGACTCAACTTAACAGGTCTTAACCAATAAGGACGTAATATGCAAATTTTGTACAAGAAAATGACCGCTAAGGGCGATGTAGCATAATAAAGCAATTCAGCCAATCAAAATGCAGATATTTGCTTTCGCCAACGTGACAAAAACTTAAAAATAATTGAAGCTAATTATTAACTTGAAAGACGGCAGTGAGTTATTTGAAATACATTCAAACAACAGAGAGAAGACAATTAGAAAGATCGAGAAATTTTTGGAGAAGCATCCGAGTATTGATACAAGTGAAAGTGAAGACAATGAAGTGGAGGAGCTTGAAGGAGAAACACAATTGCAGGCGATAACTACAGAAACTACAACAACCAAAAAGAATACGGTGCTATCCGTACCTTCGACATTCAAAGGTGAAATTTTCTCTGCGGTGGACCCGAAAAATTGCATCATGTCGATAGTCCTTTGTAGCTGTAAGGTAGTCAAGAAGAATACCGCTCTTCCGGAATTATTTAACTCAAGATTCATCGAGTCACAATACGGCTTAGACCCACAACTACAAGCTGTTTGCGAAATGGTGAAAGCAAAGGATCCGGAAATTCAACAAAAGGTGCACAATATGAGTCGTTACTACTAACAGTTTGTTTGCGATTTTACGTACGCGATATCGTTGAATGGATGAACGATAAACTAGTCCTACCTAATAACCTCCACAAAGCCATAAATAACAGCCTACACTACTATCATCAGCGAAAGACAAACATTTTCATGGCCGCTAAAAACATCTGGTTCCCTTGCATATACCGAAACCTTGCGGCGATGGCAGAAAACTGCAGGGAGTGCACCGCAGCTGGTAGGAATTTTGAAACTATTTGTAGCAAGTGAGATTTAGGTACTATTTCAGAACCAAAGGAACCGTTGCAGTTAGACTTCTGGGGACCTATTAATTACTTAAGAGAGTCTAAAAAGTACGTTAATGCAGCTGTCGATCGATTCTCGCGCTGGCCATCGGCAATGGTATGTGGACCGAACTGCTCCGATAAAATTCTAAATTTCCTTAAGTCATATATAACCAATGACGGAGTGCCGAGAAAAGTTCACGTGGATCGAGGAACTAACTTTATGTCAAAGGAGGTAAAAGCTTTTTGTAACAACAAAAGGATAGAAATAATACAATCCCCAGTAAACGACCATCGAGCAACTGGGTGTGTCGAATGAACGCTTGGCAGCCTAAAATACTCCGTTCTAACGTTTGC